TTGCCCCTAGTACAGACACCTTTGCTTCTCTTTTCAAATAAAAAGAATCATTCTTCTGTTAACCCAAAGAGAAAAGTGACAAAAACATTTTGGGGACTGAAGAAGTAACAGTTCTGTTCATGTATGTGGCAAAAAACTTAGAGGAGCATGTGTCCACTCCCTGACCACACACATTCCCTTCCTTATAATTTACTCTGCCACCAATGTTGCTGTGAAAATGTCCTGCAGAATTTGAGTACAAATACATTTCTAAAAATATGTCCTATTTTCTGACAGCAGCTGACATCCTTAATGACCACCATGTGAAAAATGGGTCCATATCAAGCATTTTGATTACAAAATATCATACACATTGAAGGAGAAATTTTTGGAAATAAATCCCTTGTCTTGAAAATGCTTCCTATCTCTGGAACAGATCAGACCTTGAATTATCATATTTGTCAGCTTTCATGATACCCACACAGCTCTTTGTCTTGTTGCTTTTACATTCCTACCCCATATATTTAGCTATGTTAGATCCTCAACTGGGTTGAAAAGGCTAAAACTCAGGGAAACCTCAAGTGCATCCTGGGAGCCCCACTTCCTATTAATTGTACTAGACCAAATCAACTGAGGTACTGACCACTGCTGGCAGCTACTTCACAGAACATGACTCTACTAATTTTTCCTAAACAGTTCCTTTTTGGGGGGATGGAATGGGAAACATATAGATGATGGAAAATGTAAAAACTTGTGGAACAGGCAGAAAAAGTACACTTCCAGTTCCACAACAGGAGGAATGGACACATGGGAGAAGGGAGACAGAGAGGGAAGATGGCAGGTGGAAAGAGAAGAAGGGAGGGAGAGGAAGGAAGGAAGGAAGGAAGGAAGGAAGGTACACTGAAGTTTACCCATGGCAAACACTTTACAGAATTTCTTCTGTGTAAAATATCTACAGATCCCTAGGAAACATACAAATTTTATGACATGAAAAGCTTTTGAGAGATTTTTAAGAGCAGTGTCCATGTGCTATAAAGGTTTTTAATCTGTACCTTTCACATTTTGTCAAATTGAGTTGTGACTCAGTGACAGTGCTTATACCATGTGTGCATGTCTACAGTGTCACCACACCATCAGCTACAATTTAAAAGGCAAGGTTAAAATCTCAGGAATAACAAAATGTTCCTGATTGAGATATAGCTCAGAAAAACTGACTAAATATTTAAGGTGTGCAAAAATATTTATGAGTTAAATTAGCTCTTTACTAATACCAGCTAATTGGTCCTCACAGGGGCACACTTATGGGCAAAATCATATTAGTATTAGTGATAGCCTAACAGACAGAAACATAAGTAGGTAAGTATGATATGTGTGAGGCTAATAAGTTAGAAGGGGCTACCAGTGTTGTTAAAACTCATGGTTTCCATTCTTGTGCTTTGACTGTGCTGTTTTCCTTCCAAATTTTCATACAGTTTTTCAAAAGATACCTAGTGATTAACCGTTAACATATGCTTTCCTGACACACCATACCCCACAACCCTCACAATGAAAATAAAAATCCTAAACAACCTCCAGACAAATAGTTCTGTTTCTAAAGGAGGTTCAGTACCGTTATTTTCTAATTGCAGACAAAGTTTTTTGATATTTACAGAAAAATACAACTATCTTGAATAAAACAGTGAAACAATATGGAAAGAGTGACCACAATAACTACAGGAACCAAAAAAGAAGGAACAAACTCCATGTAAAGGGAAGAGGATCTGCCTCAAAGCTGGTCTAGTTCTTGTAAAATGGTTTAGACTGACAGGTTTGGAAACTGAAGGAATAGCCACAGATTTGTGATAACATAAACAACTGCACAGTACTTATCATGTCATCACACCATTAAAGGCCATGTTCTGTGCTGAAGAGATGAGATGTTTGGTCATTATTACTGCACTCTGGGTCTCTGCAGAGATCACTCAGAAATGCTGCTTTCAGTAAAACCAAGTTGCTATGCCAGAGTCCCTTTATGAATTTTTCAGATAATGTCAGATGATATAAATTCCACCACAAGAACAATTCTCATAAATACAGATTCTCACAGAGATGCATGCTAGGTTGAAAGGAGGGAAATGCCATTCAATTCAAAGTAAATGTAAGTGTCCTTCTAAAAAAAAACTGTTCTGACATTAGTATCACTAACACGGAAGAAACTACTTTTCCTAGATTTGCCTAAAAATAACAGTAAATAGTGTTCTGTCCACAAGACAGGGATGATATTGTCTACATAGCTTAAGCAAAATCTGAATGAAATTAAAAACAGGACTTGTGAGCTCCTTACAGTTTTTGGAGGCTTGTCTTTTTTTCCTTACTTTTTAGTATGTGCTGTTAAATTTTCTGTAATAAACAGATTTTTTTTCCTTCTATGTTAATAATCTGCTGAATTTATCTACAGGTGATGCATAAATTTTCAAATAAGCTTACCAAACCCATTTGACCTCTAACAGAACCATAGTGAAATAAGAATGCTGAACATTGATTCATTCAGTGAGGAATTCTTTATATACCTCAAATGCGTTTTTCATTAAAAAATTATATTTATTTTACTGTGCATACTACAAAAGAGTGGGTTTTTTTTCCTGTATATATAATTCCATTTGAGTTCTTTTATTTCTTAGACTTTCTGTATTACTTATTCCTATTAGCCTGGGAGGAGAGAGTGCAGTACAGGTAACACTACAAAGGTTCATGTGTTTTGGAAAAATGCTCCCTTACTGTTCTAATTTCCCTTTCTCACAAACACACTGAGCTTGCACAACATAAAAACAAAACAAAGCAGATCACTCAATTTAACAAGGCAAAGTAGTTGAGATTTTGAAGAAAATAAAATAGATGAAAGAAAAATGTCAGTGAAACAGCTTAATTTTTTTTCTATAAAGTTTCTTTTTGAAAACCAGAAGGTAATTTTTTCTTACAGTTTCTGTGGAATTCACAAATGTTTTCAGGGCTTCATGAGTGCACAAAAAAAAAAAAAAAAAAGTTCAGAGGCTTGTAACTCATAGGAACATAGTGAGAATTCATTTAGAAATTATTTTCTTTTATTTTCTACAAATGAAAATACTGATTTATTAGATATTGATTCCTACTTTTGGAAACAAAAATACTGAAATGCATTAAAAGTACTAAAAAAGAGGAAATCTATATTAAGAATTTCCTCTAGAAAATGTAATAAGAGTTAAGTATTCAAGTGGACCTAAAAAGTAAGAATAATCAAAATGCACAGCAAAACAATACAGCGACAAGCTGAAACAATGGAGCATTTCTGACTCTTTGCTAAGAATAATGTTCTGGGTCAGTAAATACAGAAAAGGAACACATTCTCACTGAAGGAATATTTTATTGTATGCTGAAATATCCCTTAGGGGTTGCTTTGTTTGTTTCTTTTTGATTTTGTTACTTTTATTCGTTTTGTAAAGAAAAGAGTCTACAACGCACATCCTAATGGCTTTGGCTGTAGATTGAGCTTAAGTAAATACCATCTCTCTGCCAGTATGTTGTGGTAACTAAGGCTGCCAGTGTGGTTTACCAGCTCAAGCAACATGTGTAAACATCGGAAACAAAAAACTTCGGAGGGCAGCCTCCTTTCTCTCTGCCTTTCTCAGCTGCTTGCTCCTTCTCTGTCTCCTGGTTGGGCTCGCTCTCTTGCTCACTATATTTCTTGGACTTTTGTTATTTTCTGACAAATCATGCGAGTGAAACACAAAACATTAACACAACTAGACATCCTTTTTTTCTGTCTTCTAATTTTATCCAAAGGGAAAGTTACCCAATAAAAAGTCCAGCATATATTTTCAGAGCTACTAAGTGCTTCTGCCAATAATTTCTTTTGATTTTTTCTATAAAACATGCCTTAATCATACTACAGCACTTTCCATTGCAAAAAAGACAACTTTACAGAACAACATAGTTAACATTTTTTTCCCTGTTCGTTTTGATTTTTTTTTAAAACACCACAAAAATCCAGGCTATAATAAGAAGCACACAAAATTATATTCATCTTTGTTTTGTGACAAGTAGTATCAGCATTTGTATCCCCAAATATTATGCATGTTTGACAAAAAAATTTTCGACTGGTTCACATGACAAAATTCTGGGGCTTTTTTTCACTTTTATGCAATGTAGTATATAAAGAATAAGGATGCACTATTGTTTCTAGTAATAATTGGCACTTGGAAAAAGCACCAAGAATTATGTATTTCACTTTACCCCTGTTCCCTCCCCAGTATTTTTCTGTGTGTAGTCCAAAAACTACAACTGTGGTTATGGTGAATAACTACATTTTCTTTTTTCAAAATGTGTGCAAAGTTGGCACTTTTGTATTAACACTAAACACTAATACTCTTTGTTTGGCATTCATGCCCTCATACTGACCAGATCACTTTTATCTAAGTGTATTTTTTTTAAAGACACTTACTGAAAATATGGCAATAGTTTAAGAAAAAAAAAAGCATGGATATTATTACACATCCCCTTGTAGTGTACGAAAAAGTGCATGACTGGATTTATGTAATAGTACAAGACAAAAAAACTGTATCAAATCAGGTACTGTAAAGCATGCCAGCACCTCTGTATTACTTATATCTAGCAGGTAGTTAAAACAAGACCGTGGTTCTTTTAAAAATGTGCATTAAAGCTAACATAAATGAGTAAAACTAGGCAGCAAACTATTTTTCCTGCTTATCTAACAGCTGAATGTAACTGTAAAAATTAAGCAAAAAAATTAGAGTTAAACCACCATCAATACAATTGTTTTACATCATAGGCCTGTCAAGGCTCAATATATATATACAAGTGTAACAGCCATGCTTAGTAGAACGTTATCCCCAATGCTTAGAAGACACAAAGACAACTAAGTAGATTGTTTTTTCTTTCTATTTTTGTTTGTTTGCAATTTTTTTGTATTTTTGGGGGGATTTTTTGTGTGTTTTTTTTTTGTGTTCTTTTCTTTTGTTCTTTTTTTTTTTTTTTTTTTTTGGGTTTGGTTGGGTTTTTTTTTTTTTTTTTTTTTTTTTTTTTCTTTTGTTTGTTTGTTTTTGTTTTTTTCTTTTCTTGTTCTTTTTTGTTATTTTTTTTTCAGGCAAAAGTTATGGGAAGAACAAACTGGCTCTTTGGAGATGACCAAGAACATTCTAACAGAACTAGGGACAACTGCAGTTTTTCTATTTGTTTTATGCTTGTTTGTGTTTTTTGTTTGGTTTTTTTTTTTTTTTTTAATGAAGGGTCTCTTCCCCCAAATTAAAGGTCCTACATTTTTGTTTCTATTAAAAAAAATAATAAAAAAGAAAAAAAACCCCAACAACCAAGAAAGGGGAAAAGCACCTGGTGTTTTTTTCTTTTGTTAAAAAAGAAAAGAAAAAATTATATATATATATGTATATTTGTGTGTGTATATATATACATATATATATATATATATATAAAGGGAGACTGTATACGGCAGTTCAGATGTAGTGGGCCCTCTCTGAGAGCTGGCATTATGCTGTGTCCATCCTTGACCTAATCTACTGAAGTGAAAGGAATGTTTTTATGCAGATTGGGGTTCTGGCTGTGCCGGTTTCGGCTACGGACAGAGGAGAACATCATGTTGCACCCAGGGACTTTGCACTTGTGCATTTCTCGCAAGTGCACTGTTTTGTAGTGCACTCTGAGGGTTCCCTTGTTGCTGTACATTTTGTGGCAAATGTTACACATTATCCCACCGTTGCTCACCGAAACACTGTTGAACATGAGGGATCCTGGGACATCGGTGCCCATACCTACAGCTAAGGCAGGGGCATCTGCTTTGTGGGCAGATTCCCCGCTGTCACTTGCCCCATCGACGTCATCCAGGAGAATACCCTCATCGCTTCCTGCATCAGATTCTCTTGAGGAATGGATACTGCTGCTGGACTGGATACTGGAGGTGGTGCTCAGGTCTAGTACCATATAGTCTTCTGCCATGCCCCTGCCGTACCCATTCATATGGGAATCCTCAGTGCCAGCAGGCGAGGAGGTGTCTTCCCTTATGTCAAGCCCCATCTGATGCTGAGCGCCATATATCTTCACCAAAAATTCATCGCGGAGGTCCTTACTAAGAGAAGGCTGTGAAGTGTCCAAGCCCATGTCATCCAGTTCTTTGGTCAACAGTTTACGGTGCAGGTTTATGTTAGCACTGTGTCTGGGAAAGGAAGAGGGAAGGGAGAAAAGGAAAAATGTACAGTATTTTTGATTAAACATACATTCAACAAGCACCATATCCACATTATGATTTATTGATAATTTCTCATAAAAATATCCTTTATCGATGTTGCTTTGAAATTTCAGTCTTTCTATAAGTGGACAAAACTAAACAAAACAATCAAATTTCCCCATTAGTGTTTTTCGTGTCAACTGCTGCACCTCAACATTAGTCTCCAACAGCAGCTACAGCCCTTTTATTTGAAATTTAAAAAATAATAAATTGTACTAGCAGAAAATACAAAATGCTCTTCTTGATTCCTGAATCCTTGCTGACTTTCTTTCTCTTCAAGAGGCAAAAATATTAATATATAGAATATATTAATGTGTGTCTAGCTATGTTTTACTCTGGATCCATATCTTTAGATAATTATTCATACATATACATACATAAAAAGATGTTTATATTTAATATATATGTACTCGCACAACTCTGTAAGTGAAATATTGGAGGAGAGTAAAATAAAGGTAACCGAATAAGGCATTGTCAGAGGTCCTGATTCTGGTAATTTAATTCTCTTGCAAAGGGATTCAGAATCAGGCCAAACCAAGATGAAGAAGACTTGAAGGGTTTAAGAGAACAAGTCTTTGAAATTTACATGTAAGTTTCTGAAAATCTTAGCCAAAGTTAGTGGTTTCATCCTTCTAAGTTGTCACTGCCACTCCTCCCTGTCCTTTTCCCTGTACTGTCTGCATGCAGTGCTGATTGACTCAAGCAGTGTAATGTCCAGTAAAGAAAACCCTATTAATGGCAGTGAGAATTTTGCCCCAAATCAATCAAAAAACTTAAGCATGGTTTGGTTTAGGTATTTGCTGAAGTTACTGCAGATATTCAAGACAATGGAAAACTGTCAGTGATGGAGGTGGATTTTAAACCAGATCCCAAGAGCTGCAAATTAAAAGACTTTCAAGTGTTCTACAGGATCTGGGCCTTTGCTCTCAAGAAATAAAACTCTATGTTTGCAAACAAGGTAAGCCTTTGGGTTAGTAAATGTGTAAAATAGCCTATTATCTGAAACTGCATTCTACTCTCCACTTTTGGCATTGGCTTTATTCATCCACTGCAGTAGAACCTCACTGATTTGCAGTAGTGTCAGGAAACCCTCTTTGAAAAACTGCATTTTCTGAATTAATGATGCAACCAACAAACATGACGGACATCAAAGACCTCTGAACACAGAACATGCTCATTTTGCTGAAGTGCTTAAGAGGAAGAAATCAGTGTAAAGTTTTCAGTAATAGAAAACTTTAGGGTTCAGTTTTCAGAGTGTGCAGCATTGCTGAGGAAATGACAAATATTTATTCAGTTTCTTTGGAGGGTGACTTGAATTTTGAGTCAGCAAAAAAAGAATTAGCGAAGTTCTACTGCATAACATTCTTTGCAAGCTAAGGACCCAAACCCGCAATTTACAACATGCAGACTCACCAGTCTGTCTGCCCATTATAAATTGCAGATCAGAGCCCAAATGTAGGAGGGAAAAGAAGAGGGGGGAGTGGGGAGCAGGAGGAGGGTGGGGAAAGAGAGAGAGAAAGAGAGAATTTTAACACAGGAATAGCTTAATTTGCAAAAAGCACTAGGTACAAAATTGGCAAGGGAAGACATAACAATGATCAAATATTTTACAGACATTCAGGTCCTTCATTAACAAAAAAGGGAGAAGAGAAACAATAGCTATTAGCAATATTTCCTTATTGGAAGCTTTTATTTTAAGATACCCTTTGAAACATACCTCTCAACTAACTGAAGTCCCAAACAGGGTACAGCAATACAATGCAAATAAATAAAACAAATGCAAATGTAGGAAGATTAAATTGATGTGGAGTAAATTTCTGTAATTTTCGAACACTTACTTTGTGATTCATTTATCTGTTGCACATAACTTAAGGGAATAAACAAACAGCAACAGAACTAATTTGTCCCATTCACCTGCAAATGCAGGTAACTGTTCTCTGACATAAAACTGTTACTGAAATATAGTTGAATTGAATCGTGTGTGCTTGGGATGCAATTATTCCAGTAAGGGGGTGGTCTAGAACAGAGGATTTTTCTCCTAATGAGAGACAGTTGAGAGGTATGGGCAAGGGCGGAAAAAGTGGAGAGTATTTCTTGCTTTTGTCCCACATGGGAAATACTCTTTTCACACAAGCAAATATAGCACCATTGCTTTTTTGAGGCATGGAAGTGTAATTATGCATATCCCCACACTGCACTTAGGAAGGCTGAGCTTACCTTGTGATAAGATCAGCTTTCTAATCTTTTGCTAAATTGAGATCACAAAAGAGAGAGAGAGGAGAGGAGAAAAGAGAAAGAAAGGGGAAGGGGGAGGAGAGAGAGAGAGAGAGAGAGAGAGAGAACAAATTCACATTCCAATCCAGACATATCTGGTTAAAAAAAAATTCTGAAAAATCTGAAACCAATAAAACACAGACTTTAAAAAAAAGTCTTGATTATGAACCTGGTTTTTGTCTGTGGTAATATCACTTATACTGTTGTCCTGATGGATACTGACTCAATCACACAATACAGAAAACATAAAGCAAATTAATCAAAGCATATTCACACCATACCCATTATTATCCACAAATGAGTTCTGAACAGATGCATGCAGTGCACATACATGAATGATAAACAGGAGTCCTGATGGTCCCTTGCCTTCCTGGTTTCAGATAGAATATAGCTCCATGTTAAGTTGCTAAGTGCAGTACAGGAAACGCTTACTGTGAAGGCCTGTCCACACTGGCCAGAGTTATTAAATGACCGTAAAAGCACATTTGTGCTTATCATCATAAGGCTAACTGCAAACTATTCATAAAGTACTCATGTGTGTACTTGTAATTTCTCCTCTTCTCTCCCCTCTTCACTCCTGTGTAATGGGAATTTGTTTCAGCATACAAGCTAGTTAGGATAACTGTAACTGTAGCTTCCATGCATTTGTGTCTATTATTTCCTTGGTTTTCTGCTGAGAAAAACAACAGCCAGGCATGCAGTGAAAAAAACTCCAGCATTCACTAAATGAAGAGATAAGAATAAACTGCCATGTTAAAGAGGGGGCACCAAGCCCCAGATAGACAAAGGCCATTCTGAGAAAGACCAGTGTAAGGATGCAAATGCTGCTGATGCTCTGATAAGAAGAGATGCCTCCCTTATTAAATTCTCACTTACAGCAGTAACAATCAGTAATCTAGTTAAACTATGTACCAGCCCATAATATCTGTCAGGCAAACGATGTGCAGAAATGTGCGGACCAGTTCTGGCACCCTGCTCAGTAGTGTCCCTTTTCCGCTGTCAGCAGTACTGTTGGATTCTCCTAATATAATTACATTGACTTTTATTCAATTAAGTGCCATTCCTAGCCTTAAAAAGAAGCTACTTTATCAATTGATTCAGGTGTAATGCAATAATAAAGATGAACTCATGGCAGTGCATTAGCTCTGCTGTTCATAACTTCTGAACATAGGTTCATTCATAGCAGTCGATTTCCATTATGCAACCACAGTTCAAAAGAATTGATTCTTTTACATTCATTTCTTAATCTATTTTACTTGTGCTTAATACTGTCCCTAAATATCATATGTGAAAACATTCTAGTGGAGCAAGAGGTATGAGTTGTGAAAAAAATTCATTTATTTAGATACTGAAGTTTTGAAATCTTACTAAAAACCCCAAAGTTTCAGACCCCCTTTTGCATACCGAACAGAGATTTTCCATCCTAATCCAACCCTTTCTCTTCTGCTTTGTCACTCCCAAACCCTAGGAGTCCCCTACAAGCCCTCAGCCAGTGCTAACCACCTGTCATCTTGTTCATCTGCTCCTCCCCATGACACCTAAAGTTTCTTGTTTCAGCTATTCTGTTCCCTGATGTGATTTACAAAGCTCCTTACAACTTCCTCCTCTGCTCCCAGGTATGTGTAAACAATGGTCCCAGAGTAAGCTGAGGCACAGCTTGGGCAGAGTGATTTGTGCCAGTGCATGAACACTGCCATCAAACAGACAGAAAATCTTGAAGCAAAATATGCCAAAACCTGCTGAACTTCAGCTTGCCATGGCTTCATTACTTCTCATACCTCAGCTAGCTAATTTAAGGCCATCTCTGGTGTCATTTGCAACACCACAACTGCTGCTGTATCTGTAGGGAAAAGAACTTAAAGAACATAAATGATTGGGAGAAATGAATATATGTGTATGAAACAAAATATTTGACCTAATTAAATCCTTTGAAAGCCTCTGGACTTCCTAGATTGCTCATTTGTATATCAACTACCCGAATGACATTTGATCCTCACAGTGGAAATGTTGTGTAAAGACAACTGGTGGTGATTGAAGTCTTCCGGACAGAAATATGCAGTCAAGTGAGTTTAACTAAAGGCATATCTCACTGTACTTCAGTTACTATACCTATCAGTTCCTAGGCAACAAGGGATGGTGAAGAGGGTTTGCTCTGAAAATACTATCTGGGGCAAAGAATAGGTCTGTACTATATGTCAGATACCCATAAAAATGAGGAGGGTATTTTTCCCCTCATTTTGAAACGTACATTTTGAAATGTAGCTTGTTGTGGCAAGGAAGTTTGAGCAAATTCTAGGACCCAGAATATCTGATTTTTTGACATAAATACCACTCTTTTCAAGTTACTGTTAATTAATTACTTATATGGAAGGCAAAAGTGTGTGCAAAGCTCTCACTAGAGTGTATTTGGCCAAAAAATGGAGCAGGTCTGCTGTGAGGAAGATAATGATAATGATGATACGTATAAGATCTGTGGTTGTGGTGAAATGTCAACCTCTGAGTTCACCACTGACTTTTCAGACAGGAGTTTCAGTAGCAGTGCAATGCAGAACCCTATAACAGTTACAGAAGCTCCCTGACTCTGGGCATGATCCCACTGGCGGTAGTATTTTCCTTCTCTTGCAAAGTCTATGGAAGTATTCTTTCTTTGCTAC